TTGCAATTCCTATGAGACTCCGTTGTTCATCCGATTTCTAACAACTTCGATACATTCAAAAAAGAAATCAAGTTTTTTGCAAAGTTCACTCAATGTCATTTTCCAGTGTTTTCTGATCGACTCATTAATCGGATTATCCTCTTGAATGCTATGAAGGGTTCTAAAAAGCCCAAATATTCCGGTCTTTGAATCTAAAAAGCAATTTATAGAGAAAAAAGAGATTATAAAAAAAGGAATTATGACATCTCAGCTGCCACTTCTTCTCGTTTTGAGCAGCGTCTCAAATAATTCGCATTAATATTAGTCAAAAACTTATTTTTGAATGAGCGGTCAAATTATTTGATCGGGTTCGGCAATGTTTGACTAGAAAACTTCCTATCACTCAGAAAAAAACAATCATCGTCTTGCTGAAATCTGAGATATCATCGTCAGGTAACTTAAAAACACGATTTGAACACACTGGAAAAAAAACACATTGGATCTAGAGTCCAGACTCTTAAAAACATCGATAAGAAAAAATACTCCTGATTCAATCGGATTTTTGCTTAAATCAAGAACCAATAAGCGTCTTAATTTGAGCGGATTTCCTTTTGATTAAAGCTTAAATCTGATTGAATCAAGAGTATTTTTTCTTGTCAATGTTTTCAATAGTCTGGACTCAGATCCAATGTACCTATTTTTTTTCCAGTGCAGGTTTGTGGCGCATTTATGTGCCTATTGGCTTATTCGCTGTGTCGAAGCGAAGTTGGCTGATCTCAACGTACCTTAAAGCAAACTGCATGGTCAAAACAACAAACCGAAGCCGCTGATATAGAGTGATAGTACGAGTATAATACTAGCCTTCTCCTCCTCTTTCTCCCTCTTTTTATTTATAGTCTTCTTTGTGCTTTAAATTTATAGACCAGCTATTTAAATTCCAGTGAATTCGGTGATGGCCACGCTTGAGGCTCCAAAAGCGAAGCAACCCATGTTTGTCAGCCTCTCTTTTCGGCTCGCCGCGTTAAGTTGGCTAATAGGATTTCGTAAGGCAGAAACAACCCATCATCACTTCGGTATGAGCCTCGGTTCAGGTGTAAAGTCATGCTATCGAAGACGCATTTCAAAACGCATAAGCGTTTCTTTCGCTCGCTCCAGTGCGAATCGCATCATCAGCGGGCGCAGCCTACACGATTCCCATATTGGGCGTCAAGGAGGCGCATTGCAACGTCCGTCGCGTCGACGTCGTTTCCTTTCGAACGTGCGGCGCGTTTCAAAGTCGTTGGAAATCGGGGATTTCGGGGTAGATTCGGCAACGTTGTACGGGCTCGTTACGGGGCTTTTTCTGTGGGGTTAAGTTGGTAAAACTGGGTTTTGAATTGGATGTATGGAAAACAATCGATAGTTTGCGAGGTGGGTCGCAGCGTCTAGAATCGATTATTTACTATGGATTTAAATGGAGGAAAACAGTGTCACCAACTCGCGAGGGTCACCATCGGCGACGGCGAATGGCGTCGGAACGCGGGCACCAACGAAGCGACGACCCTCGACCGCGCCTCTGCGGTGTGCGCCGCGGCGCCGCCGATGCCGAGTCGATTCGAAAAACGAGATTTATACAATGATTGAATGAAAGGTATCTTTAATGGATGGAGTGTGACGGGAAGGATCTAGGACATCGAGATTGAACTGAGAAAAAGAGGTTTTAAAGTTTTATTCATCTACCAAACTCAACGTTGGAGATGTAAATCAACGCCTATTTTCAAATTTCAAAAACATGTTCTTGAATTAAAATTTTTGACGGAGGAATGTGCGGCTAGTTTAACGCAGAACTAGTGCAGACTCATTTTTTTACCCTTCCAGCTTGTGACTTGGTATTCCTCTCCATTTTATTTAAATTTTTTAGGTTGATCTAAGATGGAAAGTATGGGCAAGATAAGCCAAAAAAGTTGTACTCATAGTGAAAAATATGGAAATTAGTATTTTCAGACGGGAGTTCCTCCATGAACAAATCATGGGGTACCACCTGAAAGAGAGAGGGGGAGGAAAAAACCGGTCACGGCAAGGTCTCAGAATATAGAATTTTTCGTTATCTTATTTCCTTCGTTTTATTTTGAAGATCACAATAAATTATTCATATTCCTCGAAGATATTGACGATTCATCTAAAACGCACCAAAGTTTTCTTTTAGAAAATTATATAATGTGTCGTTAACTTTTTTTTTTTTTTTTAATGTGGTGTCCCTTTTGGAAATACAACTTACAACGATGCAAACAGACCCATCCCGACCCCCGGATTTTGGAGGTATTCATTTCAAAATTTCTGTAAGTCGGAAGAAGATTAAGATCTGCTTTTTTCCAACTACAATCTCAAGGAGACCATGATAAAAACGAAATCCTGCAACTTTCCTTTCAAACAGATTTGCATCTAATTCTGAGTATGCATGTCAAAGACCTTGGTTGGAAGAAATGCACACACGTATTTATTTTGTACATTCAAGTCCTCTCACATTTTAACCTCATTCAGTCAAGCGCTCGGAATAAAACAATTTGGGCTGTATCGAGCCATTACCTCCTTCACTTATGCCGTGGGCCCAAAAAAATATGCAGGCACGATCAGTGTTTCTTCTTTCTTATTCAATTTGAGACAGTAATGATCCATCACATCAGAAAATATAGTGTTCAACATTGACAGCTTACAGAACAAGGGAACTCCTAGATTATTTCCGTTATTCCTTCCCATCCTAAAATCCACAAGTACTTGAACATAGGTGTGCACGCATCTAAGGCTGTTAATGAAAACTATGGTTCAATAAGTTCCCTTTTTCCTTAAAGTTTTTTTTTTCCTCCTGGCCGAATTTTCTGAATTATCCCTGTTTTTATTTCATATCTTCAAATCCACAGGCACTTGAAGATGGGTGCGCGTGCATCCAATTTGGCTGTTATTGAGAACTATTGTTCTATAAGTTCACTTTTTCCTCAAAGTTTTGTTTTTCATTCTTGCCGAATTTTCTTAATTTTTCCTGTTTTAACCGGCCATGCATTTTCACAGCTTTACTTTCCTGCCGAGTGGCCTTACGTCTAACACTTGAAAATTGGACAGGAGCGAGGCGTGAATGATCAAAATTATCGATATTTTCCCATTTAAACTTATGGTAAAGAATCGATTATTAAGATGTCCGTCGCGAGTACCCCTTGATCCTCGAATCGATTCTTTTCATATATTTAAATCGCAGATCAATCGATACATCGCAAATCACGCCACGCCACTGCTAACTGATGGATTATTTTGAAAACTTTGACTAAGGCAAGCAAGAATTTCTGGGGGAGTCTCCGGGCCCTTCCCTTCCCCCTGGTTGAAGTTTCTGGATTTGCCTAAGCACTATGACGATTGAAGATACAACTGAATTCCAGTGAAATATTGACACGACGACAAAACTTTCTTCTCTATTTAATTACATTTGGCAACGATTCGTAGGTCTATTATCAAACACAATAGGAAAGAGTTGCCTTGCGACAGTGGCGTAATAAGCCAGTTCAGCGCCCGCTCAGCGAGGCGCGCGCCGGCCGGCAGAGCCACCATTGGCGAAGGTGCTCTAATATGCAGAGGATCCTCTGGTTCCACGGATGAGGTGACATGCGAGGGGCCCGCCAACAGGTGTTCACGCATGAAACAAGGATCTCGTGAACGCACTGAATGAGGGGCCCGCGTTGGAATTTTCCGGATGGGGCCCATTGATCCCAGAGGCCTGGAGGCACTAATCGCGGCAGGGTGCTAGGTCAACTTCATTCTTGCATCCAAAAATATTAGTGCCAGATGTGCAGGGCTTGAGGTACCTTATCGATGACTAAAGTGCCTTGTTTATAGCTTGTTTATATAGAATGTTTTACTGGGAGAGAAAAAAAATCAAGGAAGGTTTCAAGAAATTACTTTGACTAGTTTTCCATTATAAAATTATAAATGACTGGGAGTTTAACACGTCACAAACAAAGAAACATGGTCCCGCATTTTAGTTATCGTTGTATTACATGAACGCCAAGAATTCCACGCATTTTTAATAAACTAACCTTACAAGACAAATGGCTCATCCCGGAAACCAATTTTGATTTGCCTACTAGGTACTTTTTTTTGCTGCATTACGTGCATTTGCTTAAATAGTTGCGAAGTGACATGGAAAGCAAAGCTTCCATATTGCTCACATTAGAGGCAAGACGCCACGCACGTGCTGGACGCGTCAACGACACCTTATTTTTAAAAGTTTTGAGGATCGTATGCGGTCGAGATAAATCCCTTCAAATACGAGCGTAGGCAAAATTGGGTACCGCAAAGCGCGAATAATTATCTACTCGATCTGTCACCTAGATCGATTTGCATCCCTGAGAGAGGGAGCTACGAGCCGTATGAGGGTTGATAATAAAACAAGAGTAACCGCTGGAGTCATAATACCTAGAAAACTCGAAATAATCTTTATTCGTATTGTCAGAAGGAAATACATGTCATCCATATCAGAAGAACGTTTCATTTAGGTCGGCACAGAGAAAAATAAATCGTAGAACACAAATACGTCACAGTTTTTGGGTATGATTTTAGATTAAACTTAAAAATCCGGTTTAATTCACGATGATATTTTAGTGGTGTAACAATTATCGGTTCCAATAACAATACATCGTTCCCGGTAACCATACATTACTGCATTGTTATAGTGGTCGAAATTGTCAGTACCCCGAAAAGTGACATTCGCATTACAACTGAAACTACAAAGTTACTTTTAATCTGAATGAATTTCTTTTAAAATAATTTGTCTATTTGATTTATTTTCCTATGAATAATGAATTCAGACTGGAATCACAAAACGTATTCGTCTTTAATGAATACATACATACATGAATCTGTATGCATATTTTAAGATTTTCTGGTCTTGAGAATTTGTGTAAACGAGGTAAAATAGTGACATATATAATAACAGATGACGTGACCTTAGTTTTTAGTACCCAATAAACATTGAGCAAACAAATGGAGCAACTTACCAATTCGATGAATTTCACACCAGTTATTCTTGTGATCGGCATCTTGATTCTTTTTTTGCTGCAATCCAAACAAATCATAAACAGTCCAATTAGTCCTTTTACAAGTGTTAACATGTGCTAAAACATCGTGACAATCTAAATTAATGAGTTGTTCCTCAGACTGACACAGACCTCCGTTTACGGTAAGGAATTCGTCAAGTATTTCTGCAGTCATATTTAAATTCTTCCCTCCTCATTTGAAATAGTATTAGACATTTATTGAAAAAAAAAGTCCTGCTGTGTTTCTGCAGGCATCGAAGTCAGTTGTGGCTATGCTCGTGTAAAGTGATAGACGAGGACCAAGGCAAACGGAGCGGAATTCTGAAGAAGGAACGCTGGACCGTGAATTGGAACGTTACAAGGCCCCGTCAAGATCAGTCGGCCAAGATAGGAATTGAGTCAGAATATAGTGACATCACCCCACATCCCACCTCACTTAGCCTTTAACCTATATCTACCAGCATATCAACCTGATTACGAAATCATGACCTAGCAATTTGCAATGTTGCCACTGACCGCCGATCCAGCGATGTCACAGCTAATGAGAGCTCGACACTTGGAGTATGAAGGGTCGCCGGGTCATGGATTATGATCAGCTTTCAGATGAGTCCTCAGTGCAAAAGCTTCCTTTTCCAGTGTTTACGGACTTTAACTCCCTTTATTTTTTTTAACGAATGGGCTCCTGGGAGAGGGCGTTATTTCAGATGAAGTCCTGGAAAGTCAGAATTTTGTCGGAGGAGGTACTCGTTTAGAGGGAAGAGGAAGGGGGAAAACTTAAAGAAACCTATCAAAATGCCCTAACATTAAAAAAAAAAACTTAAAAATTAAAGCTTCTTTTACCAGTTTTTATGGACTTTAACTACCTTCATTTTTTAAGAAAAGGGCTTTTGGGGAGTGGGCGTTACTTCAGCTAAAGTCTCGGAAAATCAAAATTTGTTCGGAGAAGGTACTTATTTAGAGGGAGGAGGGCACGAAAAACTTTGAGAAAACTATTACTACATAAAATTCAACAACAGTTGTGACCAATATTCCCTGCAAAAATTCAATTTTGAAATACATGGGGGAGAGGGCGATTTTCCTCATGATTGTGAAAATAGAATGTCAATGCATGTCTTTGACCTTTCCACACACCACATCTAGTAAAGTATAATGCAGTGCTTTTGAAAAATAATATCATTCGCGTATTTAATGGATCTTCATTTCAACTCAATAGAATTGTGAATATATAAGTTTTTCTTAGCTGCATGGTGTCTCGAGAAAAAAATTTCTCTTGGCGTCAACCTCAATTCTCCAGCTATCTGATTAGACATAGCATGAAGATAATTATTTAAATTACACATTCCAGGAGAGTCTATAAACGGTGCAAGATAGCCACAACGTTTTTGCATCCAGCAGCCCGATCGTTTGTTTGCGTGTAAATTCACCCTACTAAAGAGCATTGCAGGCTCGAAAAACTTCAGTGTATATGAGCAATTCAACAATTATTCGGCCACACCACTCCTCAGTTTCGATTTTATTGACGTCATAAACTGTGAAAACATAACAAAGTACTTTACGTCTACTCGAACAGAAAAAGTTGGATACTTTTCTCGGCCTGCAAACTGCTCTCTAGTTTACAATTTCACACCATTCGGATTCTGAGTCAGCCGATGGGCCTATATCTTCGTGCGCGCCATGAAATCCACCTGCCCAAGATGTGTGCCAAAGCATAGCACGCGCTCTCAAACATTCTTTAAGGAGGCACGGTTAAACATACAAATACTCGAGCCTGGAGAACATCTCAACTCTATTTCTGACTCATCATGCCATAATTTGGGGAAAAATTCCGCGGTCAATTAGGTCCTTTCTTTTCGGAAACTTTAGTAAATCGCATACGGCGAAGCGTTACGAGCTATTCTTCCGTTAGGAACGGATTCCGTCCCACTTAATTTTAAAAGGATTCCTTTTATGGGATTGCTCATTTTTTAATGTGAAAACTCGTGCTAATTTGAGAAAGTTGAGGATTAAAGTTTTCGTCTACTGACAAAATACACTAACACCTAACGGACACGGAAAAATCTGATGCATTTACAAACGCTGAGAGAAAATATTGCCTGCTGGAAGTGCTGGAAAGTACAAGGACTTTTTGTCATTTGGCAAAAATGTTTTTCATTCTTGTGAACGAAAAAAATGAACTCTATTATTCGAAATGCGGATGATGAAAATTGTGTGCTGTTTAGAAAATGTAGTCCTAATTACACAAGTAATTCTTGGAATTATTGTAGACGAATTAAAAATCTAGAAAACGTGAATTATTGCACTAATCTTCGCAAACTTTAGCCTACAGTGAAAAACTAATATTTGCGCTAGGTTTGATTTCTTTTCAAGTGCAGAGTGCTGTACTAATTTGAGGGATGTCACTTGAGTCATTTGAGAGGAGCCATCTCTTGTAGGGGGGAGGGGGGGGGGCGTCGCTTCTGACACCTCCACTAGATGACCATGCATGGGTATAAATTCGAGTAAAAAGAGAAAAAAAGCGCAAGAAAAAAATTATTTTCACTCTAAAGAAAACTCAGTTTGCGCAAAAATGTTGGAACACTGCAATCGGGGCACGTGCGGTTTTTACAGATCGATCAACGAGATGAATTACTTTCACACGGTGCAAAAGGGTGCGTTACAGGCGTGAATGATACTCGATGCTCTACTTGATTACCGTCTAGGCCGTGTCTGGTGAGCTCCTCCCTGTCTATTCTCTTCACCTATTCTCGCTGTCATTTTTGCAAGGGCTCTTGAGATTGTCTTGAACATAGTTACACTTCCTGTCCGTCTCTTGAACAGAAAGCACCTGAACCACGCATCATGTAAGCATCATGTTAATTACGTCCGCATAGTTTCAACGCAACATTTATCAGCCATCATGGGGTAAAAATAAGTGCATCTATCCATTAGACAACACTGGTAAAAAAAACCTCTGACTTAAGAAGGCAGTTTCTTGTCGCCGGACTTAAGAGTCTTCAACTCCTTTTTCAAGCGGATTTTGCATTGATTCAAGCGGATTTTGCATTGAAACAAGAGTCCAGACTCTTAAATCCGGCGACAAGAAACTGCACTCTTGAACAAAGAGGTTTTTTTTACCAGTGAAATGTTGGATCCCTCCAATCTCTAATTTCTAATCGCACGGTATTTTCTCACAATTTTTTTGTTTTCCTTGAAGTCATAAAAAACACAAGTTATGGTTAATATCATTTTCGGCCTGGGTAAATTCTAACTGATTGTTAACAAGCATGCTTGCTTTAAATGGTGCAGCACATGGTGAACTGATCAGGACTAGAACTCTACAGGTAATCATAACAAACAAAAAAACAAAAAAACTTTGCGCCATGTACACGATTTGAACCAGTGTATGCATAATGGGGATAATTCAACCCTAGGAGCATTCTATCTTGTTTCACAATCAGATAAGCCTGAACTACAAGGTCAAGTCGGAAAGAAATCGGAACGCATGGCACAATAGATTCCGTTTTTGGAATTGCCAAAAGTCAAAAGGGAGGAAAGTAATGTCTGACTCGCATTGAATGCTATCATAAATCATGGATAAAAAACGAAGATAAAACACTGGTCGGCTTACATCGAGAATGTTTGGAAGCGCGCAATTGGCGGCTGGACGTAAGCTTCTTTTAGCTCACAAGGTTACAAGTTGACACACATTATTCTATTAACAGTAAGCTGTAAAAAACGACGTTGCGTAGAATCTTGACATTTTAAATATTTCATGGCCCCCTCACTCCTCCCCACCGCACATATCTCCTTCCCGCTTTCTTCAATTCCTTGTTGTTGAGACGTTTAATGTAAAGAACCATTGTAGTAACACGCATATTGGTCAATATTGTAAAGAAATAAGTGCAGAATTACAATTTTTTGTTGGGGGGGGCGGGAGGTGAGGGGAGTAATAAAGGACGATAAAACTGCTTTATTCCGTAAATGAAAAGATGAGTCTCTTTGGCGCTGAAAAATCTGTGACATTGACCACTGCAGGCTTAGTTTGGTTTACAGTGGGTGATACAACTATTTGAATCCTTAGGTAGCTAGTACTACAAGCCAAAATAATGAAGGAGAAATAAACCATCCCTATTTAAAATTAATTTTTATAATTTTTTATGTTTTTTGTTTCCTAATCGAGGAGGGGGGTGAAAACTACCCCGAAACGTCCCAGGTTTTGTGTCTTGTTGTTTTTTAATCCTTGGCTACCCGTTTTCTTGTTTTTTAGTTTAAAATGGACTAAATTTTTGAATGATCAGAATCGAGAGGATTTTTGTGATGAAATAGCTTTTAATCTGAGATTATATATTTCATGTATGTTCTCGAAAACTCAAAACTACATTGATGAAAATATCGCGGTTTGAGGAGAAATGAAGTGTAGGCGGTAATCTGGAATACTAATGAAGAGAGAATGCTTTTAATGGGATGAAATACCGGAATGATACAAATTGGTGAGAAACAGTTCTAATTAATAAAGTCATGGAGAACGTGACCATTATAGAAGCACATTCGATGAACAAGGACATCATCAATATGACAAATGATGCAAGCCAGACTGACGGACCAAATTGAGTGAACCGGAATGAAATCCTTTATGGTCATAAGTTTAAAGTGGTCGATCTAGACTCTGATCGCCAAAAATATGGATTTTGAAAAAATACTTTAAACACGAATAATTGACATACGTTGCAATATATTGAAATATCAAATTAAAAGTCCCCGAAAATGACTGAAACTTTCTTGATTGTATTACGATAGCCATATGCAAGAAAATTCGTGAGGTTTTATTTCTATACTCTTTTTATTTTTTCTATATTCTTTTAATCTATCTCTATTTCTATTTGTCTACGCATTTAATGTGTTGCAGGAATACGCTAAAGTTAATCGAATAGGCAACGTCGCACCAACTTTTTCAAGTATGATGGAACATTAAATTACGCCAATTTTAGTTAGTTAGTTATTATAATTTTAAGCCGAGCTACTACCGATACATACAATGTATGTAAAGTGTAAAATTGTTTTGCCTCAGTAAAATTTCAGTTTAGAATAGAAACGAATTTGATTAAACTAGAAAATAAGGATACAATATGGCAGCACATCATATTTTTCTATCAATACGAGCAATCGAGTTCTGACCTCATGTAACTTAATAAAATTATTGTTTCTTCTTATCTTTCATTATTGAAATCTCTTGAAATAAATTAACTGCTCCTTGCAGATTGAATTGTATCATTAAAGTCCGAAAACAACGATATTGTCATAAATCGATCCGATTTCGATCCACGCGAGTCTATATACAGTGTGGATTCACTTCATTCTTTAAAACTGGAGCATGTGATGTTTTTCCCAGGCCAAAGCTCAATGCATGCCCTTATTGATGGACTTTGTTGGAAGGGTGCAATGGTTACTTTTCAACTTTCTCACTTTACATCGTATGTGCTGGTGTTGAGTGTCTTCTCCATCCACACTTTCTTTTCACGCTCAAATCATTCATCGATTATGATAGCGCTTCTTTCATCAGATATCTCCTCGGTTGTCGGACTGCACTATATTTCTCTCGATGAACCCATCCAACCAAGGCTAGCATCTGACTGGCCCACAGTAAACTCACTATATCTTAAACCTATAAAAAACACGATTTCCGAGCTTTCTAAATCCTACCTCTGTGAGGGAATCCTCAAGTATTCCAGAACACAGTATTATAGCGTATCTCACTACCGTCCCACCCAGTGGCGTGACGTGAATTGCGATGTATCGATTGTTATGACACTTAAACCTATGGTAAAGAATCGATTATTAAAGGGTTCGCTGCGAACACCCTGTTCATCGATCTTTTTCCACAGGTTTAAATGGCATATCAATCGATATATTGCATGGCACGCCACGCCACTGGTTTCACCCCCTTTCCTTTGCGACGTACCCATAATGTAAGCCCAAGCCTCATTTATGAATGACGTATGACGTTTGACCACCCTCCTTTTTGGGAGATATGGAAATTGGACAAGAGAAATCTCCTCCCTAGAAAGCTTCTAAAGCATGCAAGGAGTTCAGTAATTTATAAATTCAGCTAAATTCATACCATGATTTCATTTACTGTTTGCTTCCTGGTCCCCCCCTCCTTTCTCCGGTGATAACAGATATGCTTGGATTGAAAACTGAGAGTGTTGGGCATTTGCGAGATAAGGGTCATTCACATGACTAAGCGTGTGAGCTCATATTATGATTAGATCTAATTTTCACTGCTGCTGTATCATTTTATGAATTTACAAAACCACGGCTAATCTATTAGTTATTGGTTTGGAAGGATTGCATCCTAACTTTGCTGTCACAGGTTACGAAGATGAGAAAAGAAAACCGACGAAGGAAATAATTCATTCTTCATTATTCCTTATGAAACACAGAATAAACCTAATTCCGTTTATGATGGTGGTTTTTCTTTTGTTTGTTTAGACTTTCATTCGCCAATACAGTATAATTTTAAGGACGCTCCAGCTTAGGCAATTAATAAGTAAGTTCACATTATTTAATTTTACATATCAATATGTTTAAGTTGCCTTCATAATATGACCTGCCAACGTTTCTTTTTTTCCTCCCATGAAAAAACTCCTCATTTCAGTTAGTTCTCTCGTATGGATTAACCTTTAACTTCACTGATCCATTGATAATTAAATTAAATAAATTTATTTATTTTTAAAATATTTTTTTAATAAAATGTGGCAGTTGCGGCTCTAAAACAGAATTAGGCACTGAGTGAATTTCATTTGAGGCTCTTTCAAAGATATCAATAATACACAGAGAAGACAAGAGAAAACATTTGTGAGTATTTTGAGTGAAACACCTCGGGGCTGAATTAACAGTTAAAATATGCACCATCGAACGGAACTGTAGTAAAATCAAGGATATAGCTCCCATGAATTAATATCACATTTTGCATATTTATGAGGGTTATCACGAAACGCGTGGGTAAAAAGGAAGGTGACCATTTAGCAAAATTGTTGGACCTCTGGCAGTATAACACATCATGTATTTTATGAGGATACCAAGGCCAAAACTTGGCGCAATGCAATCTGTCACGTCTCTAAGATGTATTTATTGGAAGATTTTGAGTGACTTTCGTCTTCAGCTTTTTCAGCTTTTATACAAGAGACTCATAGATTATTGACTTTCTCTTTAATCCATTACTTCATCACTTAAAAAAAATAAAAATAATAATTGAGGTGATAGCCTGCGGCGAAAGAAGGCGCGAAAATACTTATGTGGGTCTATGAGGTTGATGGCACTTTAACATTTTGTTTTAATTTCCTTATTGTTGTTTGAGAGACTAGACCTGACAAAATTCGCTTGAAAGAAGCACGTCAAATCCGAGGCATAAAGCCCTCGGCTTATCAAATTGTCTCGTAATTTTAAGTGAAAAGAAGAAAATTAAACATCAAATTAAGGCACCAATTTCAATTGAGGTAGACACCGCAGACTTTCTCTTTCATCATTCAACGTAAATATGAGTATTTTTAACTGAGGTAGGTCTCCTATAAATAGATAATCACAATTCTCACACAAACAAAAATATATACTTTCAGCACCCATCATCGTTTTGGAAAACAATCAAGGAATGAAGAAAATTTCTAGTTCATTTTGCTCTTTTTTAGAAACCAGCTATTTTCCTGATCTTGCCTTCTCTGTCATTTGGGTACCCTCAGCACGACATTTTTTTGTATGATTCATTCGATGTCGTTTTTAAAATGTTTGTAGCATTTAAAAAATACTTCACCAACATTGAGCTACCACCAGTGGCAATTTTACAAGTTGGCAGCACTGTTTTTCCTCCATTTAAATCTATTAAAATTATCGATTTAAGGTGAAGGAAGTGCCTCTCCAAGAATCGATCGTTTTACACACATTTAAATGGAGGTAGAACAGTGTTGCCAACTTCCAAGAATCACCAGAGGCTACCGCGATTCTGCGAAGCTTGCCTAACAACATGGAAAAAAGCTCAAGACGACGTGAGGGCATTAAATTCCACATTTAGAAAAAAATGTCCAAATCCTCAAATAGGCTTTGATAAACACTTGGGATAGGACAGAGATAAAAATTCTGTGAAGTATATATTCCAGAGCTTATTTAGGTCAAACATGCAACTAATATTAGGGCGGAGTCAAGGCATGAAGATGCACGAAATTTTTAATTTCCCGGGATGGATATAAGATGGTTCGGGAAAATTTGCTGTGTTTCAAATAAAGTATTTTTGTGCGCTTTGCATCATGTTTTCGAAACTTTTTTATGGAGTGAATACTATAGAAAAGCAAGGAGGAGGAAATAACGTTAACTCGTTTACGTGATAACACTTTAATTTTCATGTTAAACGGTTTTCAACTGATTTAATAAAAATTCGGAAACCTAAAGGAGACAGAAGAGGGGAACATAAATGTTCATACAGCAAATCTTATGATGATTCATGACCAGCGCCACTTCACGCACAGAGTGCACATTATTAGTATTCAGAGTAGATGCTCATCAACAAGACATTTTCAGGCGTAATTGTATCACTTATTACGCGAGAGGCATACTGATTTGTTGTAGTTACCAAAATGAAATGGTGGTTCATATTGATCTAAGGATTTTTGTGCCCCATCTATTGATTTAAGTGGAAAAACTGCGTCAGTGGTAAAATGTTCATTACCAGTGTCGATCCTTGAAAGTTGGCAACACCGTTTTCCCTCCATTTAAATCGGCTAAAACTTTCAATTTTAAGTGAGGCAAGGTGCCCACCAAAGAGTCGATTGTATTACTTACATCTAAATGGAAGAAAAACAATAATGTCAACTTTCAAGAACAGCCACTGGTCATTCTGCAAAGCCATACGGTTAAAGCTTTCAACTATTGCTACTCGCAAGTAGACTACCTTACTTCAGGAAATGTACGCCGAATATAGCTCAATAATTGAAGAGCGCACATACAATTATTAGTGCTAAAATTTGGACAGAGACTCAACTCGAAAAGTATGGTTCTCTGGAAAAACGACTTAGCTACGGTCGTACTTTTCTTCCACTTATCTCCCTATATTGATAGTGCTCGGCTTTGAGCGCGCGTTTCTTTTTAGTGTAATTTGGTTAAGTTAAGCAGAAAAGACCCAAGAGTATTGATGGCCAAAGTGCTGATGATTCAAAGTAATGGTGCAAAGAATGCTTACTTCAACTGCAACGTTCAAACATTTCTGAGTTTATTTTTTTACTTATAAAAAAGGAGAAGAAAAAAAGGTCAAAATGACTCTTAGCAATTTTCTGAAAAATGTTTTTGAATGAGCGGAAAAAATCACGGAAAATTAAAAAAAGATAAATTTGTCGGTAATTTTTTTACGCGCATTTTTGGCCATCAATAATGCACTATTCCTAGGATAAGCCTCATAATTTCCTCCTTTTCAAAAAAAATGAAGATGATAAAGGACAGAAAGAAACCTAAGAGTACGCATTCACTTTTATTTAATTTGTTAATTATTTTAGTTTTTTACGACAAATTAGTCATTCGCCAAAATATCGTGCTAGGTATTTGCAGAAGAAAATTCACAGTTTTAGGTGCATTGTAATACATTCGATTCCTTTCTGCTAAAATAATCGGTCCAGGTTATCTTATCCTGATACCAACGGACAACCCCTCGTTTCTCGGGCGTATCGTTGAGGTAAACATAAAACGTCAACAGAAGACACCTGGTGATATTTTGACAACCGTTGACAGCACAGCAGGGTAATTTTGAAAAACATTGCACAGCGTAAAATGATTATTTATGACAAGCTCATAGGTACTCACTTTTTCCGTAAGATGAAGAAAATTAGTCAGAGACACAAGCGCGTTTACAATGCGTTAATTGCACAAGGAAGAGTAACAAACAGACTGAGTCGCAACTCGCGGTCTGTTTTGCTGGTTCCGTCGCTGCCTCCCACCATTGGAGGAATCCATACGTTGCCGCGCGGCCCTCATGCTCGGCCGCGCATGCTCGCTATCTTTCGCGCCAAAAGCTCAGTTTGATAACACCGGAAATGATGTCATTTTCATGAATGGGCATCAGTTCTGGAGGAGGGGGGCTTGGTCTTCGAGGTTCTCGGTCTTAAAGCTCATGGATGTTTTGTGGTGGGTACTTTTTTTGGGTCTCCTTGGCTCGCTTTTTTCCCTCCATCTTTGTGCTCGTTTTGGATTAGTTTCTATCGCGTCTGGAGGAGCCAGGAAGTTGAAAAAAAGGTGTGGGATGGTTTATTGCCCATCGCTAACCTCCACGAAGGTCCTATCCTCTTATCGAATGCTTGAATTAGTGTTTAAATTGCTTCCTTCTTCTTTTTCGGCTGACCCAAATTTTAAAGCACTGAAACTTAGGATGTATTTTTTTCTCTTAATATTCAATATCCTATTTATAAAGCACAAAAAAATCAGATTAGTAGCTTTTCTCGAGGATTGGTCGAAAGTTTTAAATAATTTTACTATAATCGGATTCCGCAACACATCAGGAGTAAAATGATTGCAAGATGTTTTTTTCAGTCAGACTAAAGTTTGAAAGCTAATAGAAAATTACAAGATTTTAGATAATATTTAGATGCCTGATTGAAATGATGAAGGAAAGAAGAAGATGAAAGAAGAGGAAGGAAAAGAAATAGAAGGCGAAGGAGAGTGAAAAGAGGAGAGGAAAAAGAAAAAGAGTTTATGGTCTATAACTACTGTAGAGCAGATTTACTTGAATATAGGACTAAATTTGCCTTCAAAAAGTTCACTTTTGTGGCGGCTAGCCACCACTCCGCCAACCAGCGCAGCTCATTGGCTGCAGCTCGACGCTGCCACGGCTATATCTAGGCGCGAGCTCATCACACCCGTCAGTCCGCACCCGTACGTCAAACGGGACTCACGTCACGTCACCACTCAGCACGCAGCGGACGTCATGCAGCCGGCCGGCTCACACTCTAAAACGGCCCTTCTTAGGGCCACCACATCACGAGCACCTCCCATGGCTTAGTCCATATTGGTGACTCCCGACTCGAACACGCATCCTTCTGATTGTCAACATCGCACTGCATTGAAGTCTGTATCGCACTCGCCCAACCAAGGACACGAGATCTACCATGGTCAAGTCACCTGATCAACTTAGTTTTGTGAACTTTGACAAGTACCAAGCACGCATACGCATCCCATGCACTTGTCTCTCCGCAGCGCACACACTCGCTCCAACAGCTGCCGCCGTACCCCGGGTTTGGTTGTCCCCGCAGCGCGTACCCAGCTCGTTGTCGAAGCACGCACTTGCTCGGAGAGTCAACGCATCCATTGCCACGCAGCATCACTTCGTCACCCGGGTTTTCTGGAGGCTTCCCCGGTCTGCTGACACACACGCTAGTGGCCCTCTACCAACATCTCATTTCTTCTCGTCCTTCACCATGCAGACTCCGTCTTCACCCAAGGGGAGTGTTGTGGCGGCTAGCCACCACTCCGCCAACCAGCGCAGCTCATTGGCTGCAGCTCGACGCTGCCACGGCTATATCTAGGCGCGAGCTCATCACACCCGTCAGTCCGCACCCGTACGTCAAACGGGACTCACGTCACGTCACCACTCAGCACGCAGCGGACGTCATGCAGCCGGCCGGCTCACACTCTAAAACGGCCCTTCTTAGGGCCACCACATCACGAGCACCTCCCATGGCTTAGTCCATACTTTGATCTCTTAAATGATTTCTTCAATGTCTTAAAAGTCGCTTTTTCAAATGATTTCGACGGAGTCGTCAACAACTCGAGCATGACTTCGCTAAAAACTAGTTGAGCGTTATCAGTGACCTCATAGGATACTTACCGATGATTTAACCAATAAATTGTCTTGCAAAGTTGAAATAAACGTTTTTCAGATGTAATATAACCCTTACATACCCAAGTTGTGTAATATTGACCAGAGGCTTGCTAAAAACACGTGTAGTATGGGTGTATGGGGCCGGCACATACGAACTTTAGATCCAGCCGAAAATTTATTTTAAATAAAGACGTCAAATTGAAGAAAGAAAAAAAAATAGTGTGAAAAAAGCCGAAGATAGGAGAGACGTATAATCGGGCCTCATTTTTAACTTTTCTCCCGAAACTAAACAATACCTCATTTGCAGCATAGAGTGGAGCATTGCGAGTTCCCACCTCATACCATCGCGCCTTCAATTTTGGAGACGCAACACGGACATCCATCGAGTACGAATAGTTGTATCTCTGCGCCGTCATTAACGCGCTTCCTTTCATTTACTCTATTTTCATATTTTGTTGGTTTCCGTTGGTTTAATTTGTAGTTATGATTCAAGAGTTTCGTGAGAAAGATGACGTGTTACGTTAGACGGACATCCATCCAGTGCGAATATTTGTATCTCTTCGCCGTCATCGCAACGCTCCTTGAGGTGTCTCATATTTTGTTATCTGAGAAAATTTAGGGCTAAGTTTGCTGAAAATATGGTATAATAAGTCCGAAGCAATAATAATTTTAATGAAAGAAAATCATCACAAGAATTTTTTAAGCGCTCATTAAAGCATACGTCTAAAAATTAGTATTTTGGAGAGAGTTATGCCGTGCTCGGGAATTTTTTTTTACGACTACCCCTAGAACTCCTAATCCTGGTCAAATTGACCCAACTATCTCTGCTGGAGGAGTTATGCGTGGGCGATAAGGAGAAAGGATGAGGAAACACCACTTTTACCAAATAGGTGATAATTTTGGGGGAAAATTACCCTCAGAAACATAGAAATATTATAGATTGCACTTTAAAAAACTATCAAAATGAAAGTATTTAATTAAGGGTCTGTTTGATCCGACCTGGGATATTTCGTCTATATAAAATCTATAAAAAATTGCCCTTCTAAGTGTTAAGAGAACTTAAAGGGTAAGCCTGAGTAATACACTTGCAATTTGAAAATTATTCACACTAACACACTTTCATCCGAGTTGGGCACGATGAGATACGTTTGACTTGAGTCATATTCCTACATATAGATACACTGTCTAACTCTGATAATGTGCATATTTATAAGCTGTTGACGAGTAGCGCTTGAGAAGAGTGAGCAATCACTTTTATGGCCGTGCCCATTGACCGAGCAAACAAGTGATATCACCTGCTTGAAAAAGACGAGTATAACTACCGTTTGAAAAAAGAAATTAGCCTTTTAACAGAGAGTACTTGATGACTCTCAGTTTTTAATCACTCTAGTAGGTATGGAGTGGAAACGGATAAATCCCATGAGGAGATTTGACGATTTTAAAACCGTAAGTATGTCCCTCTTTTCAGGAAATTCGCCTCACAGGTGCAGATTGAACCACACAATGCACAATGCACGAAAACAATTGGCCACCCACTTCTGAATTTTTAATCTATTATTGTCTGTGTGTCTGTCGCTATACTTCACCGACTATTTCAAGCAATAAAATAGCGTAGGTAGAGGTGCGTTGAACACTGCTCTTTTAAGAAAAAAGAATCTAACTGCAATCGAAACCTTGTGCAAATATGCCTTTTTTGCCAAGCATGATAGAATAGATATCTCAGGGTCAAAAATCTTAAGTGGTGGGTCTTGCACTGGTTGAGCAGACTCAAGACTCTGCGCCCTACTGTCCAAGTGTCCACACCTTAAATTTAAATAAATCTCAAGTTCAGGGCTCACTCTCTTTTCAATTTGGAAATCGATCAAACTCTCTCTGACAATTAGATGCATATTTATTTACGCTCACGAATCGACAGTTCAGTTTGACAAACCGAATATTTAGGATGGTATGCTACCGTGCTAAGGAAGAACGCCGTATGAACCTTCAGGCGTTGCCAAATTTCCCTTGATAAAACACGAATTTACTCGTAAATTCGTGAATATTTTTCTTCCAATTTTTTAGATAAATTTGCTCGCAATTTTACCGAAAAGTCCTACAAAAGGGGAAATATTCTTAATTTTCCTGAAAAATGACCATTTTATCGATAGAAATCTGGCAACTCTCGAATGTTGTTACGGTGTTCTTCCTTAGCACGGTGGTATGGGACACCAAACGTGTGGTTCATATGACCGACTTTTTTTTCAGTGTGACCCAACCTGGCCGACTTGTGAGGCTCAAGGTGAAAAAAAGAAAAAACGAATTTACCTCTGAGTATGAGTTTAATTCTATTGACATTGTTCCTGTCATTATAAGTAAAACAAACCAACCAAAAACTCCCAATTAAGCCTTGGGAGGAGTAGCTCCACCACCCCCAACTTTCAAGGACCCAACGACGGAGCCAGCCTTGTCCAAACCCCCAGAGACGATGTTGCCACCGGTGTCGATGACAGCGCTGATGGCGCCGGCCCCGGACTTGTTGATGCTGCTGAAGGCGCTCCTGGCGTGACCTCCGACCTCGCCCGTGGTCACCAGGACGGTGGACAGGGCGTCCAAGAGCCCTCGGATCCCGCCCGATGTGAATCTAGCCACGTTCTTGAACATGTCCGCCCCGGCCGCTCCGACACCGCTGATCTCGTCCGAGAGCACCCCGGTCACAGGCTTGTCGTCCCGGCGGGCTAGTTTCTGGGATTCCAGGCCGTCGTCGAAGTCCAGGTCGTCCTCTGGGTCGTCCTGGGTCTGGGCCTGCAGGGCATCAAACACATCATCGAGATCGAGACATCTCTAGAAAATTTCATAGAGTACATAGGGCCGTTTGTAAAATCTCTCGTCTCGTCAACCTCTAGTCACCAAACCAGTGGTCAGACTCTGACCAGCAGTCAATCTGCAAATTCGCCGAACTGCTGGTTTGCGAGAGAGAACAAAGGCTGATCGGGACTTGACTTGAAGAAAACCGGGATTCATGCATACTGGTCACCTCTGGTCTCCTCAAACCACCAGTTTGACAAGCGCACCGCCACCGGACCGGCAGGTCTTACAATCGGCCCATGGAGTCGTAATGTAAGTGGGAGAGCTGGCGCCACTTTTAAGCAATTTCCAGGTTCCGAAATCCGAGACTGCTGTGTGGCGCCAGGTCACTTCTATCGATGCGTAATCGATTGTTTGCGATACACGGGGACCCAGCCATGGCATTACTTTTCTACGACGCCATTTTGGATGGAATATGTATCGGAAAAGTGACCCGCACACCAGGCTCGGAACTCGTCGAGCAAAAATGGCGCTGGGTCTCCTATTTACATTACGACTCTATGTACTCTATGGAAGATTTGGACGTATGCTGAAAGGAACTAGAGACGGATGGGAAAGATGGGGTATGCTCGTTTGAGCTGCATAGACAATGTAAACGCGGGCGCGATTCCTTTCGGGAAAATTGGTCAGTGGTATTTGGCACTATAGCCAAAGGAACTAAGCACCAAAATATGATAACTCATGAGCCGTGGGCATGACATAAGAGCATTGTGGATAGGGCCCATGAGTTAATGACTCCCATGCGGATTCGCGGCGGTGACTTCGTCGCACCTAACGTCACTAGTGCTTTATAATTCCTACTCATTCTTACGGACGTGGACTAACGAGCACACTCCTCCTTTTCCACCTGTCTCTGGCTCCTTTGAGCAAAAATACGTCCATTTTGTTGGGATATTTTAAGTCACGTTTTCCCTCCAGAGGGTCCTCTTTTTTCGTGGACAGTCGAAGTTGACTGCGAGCTCATTTGCTAAATAATGTTTCTACAAATTTTCAGGATTATCACATTTTTTTAGGGGGATTTTTCCAACTTGACGCATGAAAGTATTTTCTCTGTATTCTGATGAGACCCACCGTTGCTCTGACACACTAAATGGTATGCTACACACATTAGTATACTGCATCATTTGGAAGTTTATTTGCGTCAATTGCTACAGCCTAAAAAATTCTAAAAAAATTCCATTTCAGTATCAGGATCAAAAGAGTATAATCCAAATGAGTTGTATATTGGGTTGTTCATCAGGTGAGATCAAAATGGCACAGTTACATTTTTTCTTACATGAAATCTACATCTGTTTAGACCTTTGAAATTTTTAAATTCAAACACACTTACTCTGACCTGTAATTTATACGTTAGCTCGGATAAATTCACCATGCCAAAACAAATTGCTGTTTTTTTAAGTTCTCTGGTGGTTAAAAAAAGCGATTTTGCGCCCCTTTGACCCCACATGCTTTAATTTTTTTCAGCTTCAGCCCTTGGTTCCACTCACCCTATATAGAGCATCGTCTTCGTCCTCGAGTTGTTGGTTGGGGTTGGGAAGCTGCGACGTTACAGTATTGGCGGCATTCTTCAAGCTCGAAGTGAATTGCTGTGTGTACTGATTATCGAACGGGGCGGTAATCTGGTCGCTCAAATCCCTGGTCGTGATGCTGGCGGACCCAGATCCCCCGGACTGGAGGTAGCTCATGCCGTTCTGCAGGAGTGCTTGACCGTTGCTTCGAACCCTCTCGAGCACCTTCTCACCCATTTCTACGCCAGCGCTGATCCCGTTCTGTCCGCGTTTCAGGCCCTCCAGAGCAAGATTTTTGGCGTTCTCGCCCAGGTACCTATTCAGATTTGGAAAAGGAATTTCAAGAGTGCTAAAGATTTTCACAAAAATTGGAATTTCGTCCCACTGTTTTCGTCTCAGTTGGTTTATTCAGTAATTTTTAATGAAGCCCCTGGTAAAAGTGGATCAGCCTAACGTCAGGCTACGTTTAATGAACTACCCTGAGTCAGACTGATCAGGCTGATGTCAGAGCGATGTCAGCCTGAATTGATCAGACTCAGGGAAGTTCATGAAACATAGCCTGACGTCAGGCTAATTCACTTTTACAAGGGGCAGTTTTGCTTGTCTAAATTTTATGATACATTAAGCTTTCGCACTTTACTAAACACACTCTCTCCCTCACACTCCCTCCCTAAAATTTGTAATGAAACGTTATACAGTTATTTTTTAGATCTCTAATTCTAATTTTTTTGGTTTTCAAGCTTTGTTTTCTTCCCAGATTCAGCACTATTGTACTATGTCTTGTCACATACATGAATATATTATGTAACATCAACTCGTGTAAAATTAGCTCTGATACCGTTGGATGCCAGAAAAGATCTGAAAATCGGACCTCATCGGCCCGAAAGAAGGAGGAAGAAATGGAACAAAAAAGGAGAGACGCTTATATTCGATCATTATTCATGACACAATTAACTCAAACTATATATTAGATTCTTTAAAATCTCGAAAATTGTGTGCCGGAAACCCATAGACCCGTCTTCCGCCCCCTTCCCCCGTTCGTAATATTTGGATCCGCCTAAGCGTTAAGTAGTTTCCTCTAAGTTGGAAATTATACAGCATGAGAGTAAATTGAACTACATTTTGCCATCAGGAACTAAAAAATCTGGCTCAGCTTAAAAACAATGGATGTACAATCGGTTTCGCCAGGCACATAAGTGTCTAGTTGTAGCTCCTAATTGCAAAACGTAGTCCAATTTACTCTCATGCTTAAAAACAACGTATGTGCCATTTGTTTTGCTAGGCACAGGCAAGTTTTTACGGATGAGCCAAAAATTGTAACTCCTAATTGCAAAATGTAGTTCAATTGGACCGCATTAAACGGAAAGGAACCAAGCCATATCAGTCACTGCCAAATTTAATCGGGCAATTTAATGTTTTACAGGAAAACGGTTGTAAGGATTTTTGTGCAAATTTCAGTGAATTACCTCCATAATACAAAGCAAATTCCTTAAAAGTTTCAAAGGAATCTGCACAGCGACGTTCTCTCGTAAAAAATGAAATTACCCAGTTAAAGGCAATAGCTGATGTGGCTTTGTTCCTTTCTGTTTAACGCGGTCGAATGGAGATGTTGCATGTGTGAGGAATTTACGATTTGACTGTTAATCCCTGTGTAAAAGTTCGCGAGGAACATGATAGTGCCACTGGTTTTCCCTGAAATAAACTCCCAAGCTCAAAAAAAGCTCTCAAGTTGAGACCAAAATGGAGGGGATATCCCACGCTATCCTGAGAGTCCACCTCTCCATCAAGACAAACTCTCCATGCAAAGATAGGGAGCAAGTACATTGACAGGACTGTCACCTTATTTGGGGACTCCAAAACTGAAAACACGGCAACCTTGCTAATGTATTTGCTCCCTATCTTTGCATAGAGAGTTTGTCTTTATGTAGAGTTGGACTCTCAGGATAGCGTGGGATATCCCCTCCATTTTGACCTCAATTTGAGAGCTTTTTTTGAGCGTGGGAGTTGATTTCAGAGAAAACCAGTGGCACCATCATGAATCTCGCGAACTTTTACACAGGAATCAACAGTCAAATCGCAAATTTCTCACACATGCAACATCTCCATTAGGCACCGTGAAAAGCAGTCAGGCCGATCGCGGTAAAATCCGTGGAGACGTCATGAAATTGAGTAGCATGTTGGAGTTTTTTTGCCAACGTGCGTTAAAAAATTCAGCATAAAGCTGAAAATCTCAATACAGAGGGAAAAGCTCATTCGAGCACAAATTTCCCTCTGAGAGATATGCTGTTTGGAGCAACACTAGTTACGTCCATTCAGAAAGGCAACTGCAGACGCGTTTCGGCCTTGTTGGGCCATCCTCAGTGCAGCGCAGCCTGTGGTTGCCTTCCTGAATGGACGTAACTAGTGTTGCTCCAAACAGCATATCTCTCAGAGGGAAATTTGTGCTCGAATGAGCTTTTCCCTCTGTATTGAGGTTTTCAGCTTTATGCTGAATTTTTTAACGCACGTTGGAAAAAAAACTCCAACATTCTGACGTTGAGTGCGTCTACCGCAATCAGTTTGTAAATTGAGTAGCGTTTACCTTCCACCGGCCTGGATGGTCTGAATCCGATCGTTGACCGCAGACGAGAACATCTGGGCGAGGAGCTGGAAGAGCTGGTGGCTCTGGGCGAATCCCTCCGAGAGGCGGTTGGGGAGGGACTGGATGAACTGCATGGCCTCGCCGCGGAACCGCTCGCCGCTCAGACGGATCCGCTGGAGATCGGCCAGGACTTGGGCATCCCCCGGGGTCAAGTTCGAAAAGTTCTCCAGGGGGGTTCCGTTGAAAGTATTCGCCGAAGTCGCATCCCCGTTGATCGTCGTCGACGGCACCTCGATCGAGGCTCCGTACAAACTCTGCAAATCAGGGTTGTTATCGTTGAATCGCACAGTGCAACGAATAATTGGACGGAGTTAAACAGAAAAGAACCAAGCCACATCGGGATCGAACCGAGGAAAAGAGGTTTAAAGTTTGGCTCCTGCATAAGACTCGATGTAAAAGATAAACTTTAAGTTCAATTTCTGCAAAATTTGCTCCGACAAAAACTTTGAATTTTTAGCGATAGATAGTAGAGCAGTGGTTGAGTTCACACTGGAAAAAAAAGAATCTTAAATTTGCCGCCAAGAAGTATTTCTTCTTAAATCAAGAATTTTTCTGGTCAATATACGCTACTTTTTTGCTTGACCTAAGCATTATTTTTCTTGTATCCAGAAAAAGTCAGCTTAAAGCGAGAAAAAAAAATTCTTGGCGGCAAATTCAAGAATCATCATGCTTGATCCAAGCTACTTTTTTTTCAGTGCAAAACCACTCATAACTCAATTTTTTCCAAAATGTGGGTTGGTTCCTTTCTGCTTAACTCAGTGTAATTGGACGTATTTCTGTCAAACAGAGCTGAGCGCCATAGGGGAAGAAGGGAGAGGGGTGGTTGGATTGGCGGGTGTTGCGGAACGCGATGCTCGTTCTGCCCTATACTCCCAATGCTTTTCCATGGCGCTTAGTTCCGTTTGACAGAACGTGCTATCCGGGATTCTAAAATCCTCAAAAGGAACTGAAATTGACGCTTGGTTCCGTTTAACAGGAATACGTCCAATTAGTAGAGGTCGAACATGAAATGTTTGGCTAAAATTTGAAATTTTGATGTTTATACTGTCACAAATTCAATTTCAAGGGATATTTCTAACAGAGAATGGAGAATTTAAAGGTGTCTTAAATTGCCCCTATCCGCTGAACAAGGTCCAACTGGGGGAAATATGCGAACGAAGCACATCTCATTGTTTTCCAGACAAAGTATAACGTAATTGTGTGTACAGAATTGTGTGTTTGTGAAGTATAAATAAGTGTGCTGATTTATGAACTCATTAATTAACAAATCTTTTAAATAATGAGAATTTTATAGGAGATGGAATGTTGACTGCAATGGACTTGTTGACTTTTATAGGAATGTTGACTGCATCTATTTTTCTGCGGAGGACAGTGTTGAGTGCAAAGATTTGCACGATTAGAGCTGCCTTCAATTTCCAAGTGCTCTAGAGAACTCGTCAGTCTAGATTTTTGCATCAATTCAATTTGAAGGAACTTGAAGTTATTTAGTAATGTCAAGCTACGAGAAGGTTAGGTGAATCCTGAAAATCAACTCTCTGTTGCGTTGAAATGTATATGGTTTTAGAGCGTATGACGTTACCGGATGAGTCTAATGTCTGGTGAAAACAAGCAGTCCTAAGAACCCCAAAATGAGTTTTTTTTGGTCATTAATTTACTCGTTATCACCGTGGGATTAGATGGAGTAATGCTTTAAACTTGTAAATCAACTTCTATATTTCCTCTAATTTAGTAGCTCTTATGATGATTCATATCTGAAGAATTTGAGTAGGAAGTGCAAAATACATCATGACCGGAGTGTCTCATGAAAAAAATCTGGGAAACTTTTAGCCATATATTTTAACGTGCACTTTGATTATACTGCGTGAGAGGTTTACACATCATAGACATGAGAAAAGTAATCAGAAAATAGATAAAATAGATTGATCAAGTCGAAAGTCGCAATTTGATCAGTTCCATCGATCCTCAGTTAGGATTGAATGTAATTTCATTTATCTGGTCAGAGAAATAAACACACTACGAAGAAATTTTTAATTTGAAATGTCCTCCAATTTTTCTCGAAGTTCCCATGAGAAAGGCTGGAGGAAAATTAATATTCACGAAACTTTAAATGAGAGGTTATTCATCTTTTTACAAAGCTATTGCATGGACTTGGACATACGTGCATAATACATAATAAATAAATTCTTCTTTTCCTTAGCAACTTGGACCGCAACAGACCAAACGTTCTGTTACTCCGTGTATCATATGACGCGTCATCGTGAATTGAAGGCACTTCGCTTTCCCTCAGAGAACAAATATGCTTTCATTATTAATCAGTGACTCGTAATAACAGATATGACGATCTACATACCCCCTCCCCCCCCCTTTGCACAGTTGCAATAACTGGGAAAGATATATTCTTCACTTCTCATTTTGGAAGCTTTTCCAACCGTGACCTAAAACTTTTTAATCACGGTTCTCCAAAAAAATCGTATGACTTTTTGCCCTACTTTAATATGTGTGTGGAATGTGGCTGGTTTATACCACATTAGTTTTATCGTTCATTGAAATCGTCGATTAAATTTCACCAATAAAAAAATGTATCCTCTCAATTTTTGGTACAGAATTTATAGTAAATTAGTCACTTGGTTTGCAAAGTAAACATTCGAGATCATATTTCAAACAACAAGTCAAAACAATACTTTATTCCAAAAAATGTTTTCCTACTTGGAGTTATTAGACTACAAACTTAAAATGTAAAATCGTTAGATTTGATGTTTCTCGGATGAATAATAGTTATATGATATAAAATTCATTTTGAAATTAGGAACTGATATTTCTAGCTCATCCATAAGAGCACCGATCTACGTAAGGAAACTTAAGACGCAAACGTTGTTTCTGAAATGAATCAGAAATAGTAACTCCTCATTTTCGATAATTAGGTATGTTGGGTTAAAGTTTCCAAAATAACATTTGTTAGTCCGCTTTTATATCGTTGTGTATTTTATTGTTTCTCATTTTTGTTTCTCGTCTGTTTGGTTTTTTTTTATCATTATGAGGTAAAATCACACAGATGTTGCAACAATGCTAAGTTCACTGAATTAGACGTTGATTTACATTTCAAATATTTGGCCTTTGAACAGATCGCTGAAATCATCGTAAAAATAACGGGTAAGGCCGTACCTGGACGAACAGAGTCGAAATCAAAATCAGACAGCGGCGATCCATGTTTGAGCTCACACTTGGTTCGCACTGGAAAATACGGCGTTTTCTGCGAAGCCAGCAACTAACCATTTCTTTTTATAGTTTTTTTAGTTTAAACTTCGAAGGATACAGCGGTTTCAGCGAGACATCTGCTGAAACTTCGCGTGTTATCACTTTCGATCCCCCCTTGTTTTTCAAGCTATCCCTCCCTCGCATTTTTGTAAATAAGTTTGCTCGAGGATCACGCTCCGGACTTTGTTCGAGATCATTGAAAATACATCCCGTGCCCTATTTTTTTGGTCTGTGCGTGATGCCGTTCGCATTCTTGCTCTAAGTCACGCTAGCGGTAATTACGCTTTGCGTGTTTTTAAGGTCTAGACTATAGAAGTACGCAAAGTTTCGCCTTCGCACTACTTTGTAGCAGAATTCGGAGGTTGCAACGCATAAGTTCCAAAGATTTGGTTTTTAGCAGTTTTCAAAGCCCATTAGGAACTACGATTTTAAATCTGAACCCAAGGAAAAATTAGCTCTCTTGTCTATTATTTACATCCTAAAGACTGAATATGGATAGTGAAATTCTGAAGACCCTCCCATGGAGGATTTACGTTTAAAATTTTTTTTTTTTTGGAA